GTCAATTTCATTACATGGCCAAACATTATTATTATTATTTCAAATGGCAGGCGTTTTGATAGTTATCATTAGCCCTGGAGCTGACTTCGGGGATTCACAGAGAGGAGAAGGAACATCAAGCACAAGCATATTTTCTGCCATAGCTATTTCTTACCTAGGTCAGAGCAAACACCCCCCTACAAACTGTTTTTGTCGCGGAAAAGATCCCCGCTCTCAGAGAACGAAAGTGCATGTTTAAGGGGTCGAATCTGTGAGGAAATGAGTTAGGGTAATAGGAGAACTTGAGTTCATGCAAAAGTCGTGGTTGAGAAACTCAGGTCAACAAGGTTTCGAAATCAGTTTCTGACCGAAGCCAAAATCTTATTGGAGACCTCTTATTTGCAGTAATGTACTGAGAGACATTGCGTCTTCAAATGCTGCATTTGAACGAACGTTGTTTTCTAATGTAATAAACGAAAATGTTATAAACAAATAGGTGAATGACTAACCAGAATGAATGCATATCCCCATTAAAACAGGCCAGACAGTGCAGCATAGAACTCTACTATAACTAGTCATCTTTGTGTACTTAGACCAACCTCAGTAGTCTCCAAGATAATAAAGAAGCCTAAGAAGCCAATAAGTAACGACAATAAATAAGACTACATACCTTTCTGAGGCAAAGAGGTTGGGAGTGCCATTCCACCATGACAATTTCAAACAAATAATAAACATTTTACCCAATTATTTCAAATGGAAGACTTTACGATATTTATCATAGCCCCTAAGTTGACTTCAGCTTTCCCCATGAGTGGAGGGGGGGGGGGTACATATATGTTGGAGAGTGCCACTGTCCACTGTTTCTCCTTTGTTCGAGCTTTAAGTTCGTTACACCTTGAAGTCTTGAATTCTCTCCTGATTAAGGCCTTCATTGTGTGGAAAGACATCGGCAGGTCTATGACTTGCAAAGTTATTGTCCCCTTCCTAGCAAGTGAGTCAGTAAGCTCATTGCCTTTAATGCCACAATGACCAGGAATCCATTGTAGGACCACTGTTTTGTTTTTTTCTCTCAGCAGCTGATAGAGACTTTTACACATTTTAACCATGGATTCAGCACATCAGCTACATAGCGTCAAACACCTACCTTTGAAATCGACCACACTAAAAGGGTACCTCGAATCGAGGTCAATTCATCTGTTTGCCTGAAGCGAAGTTAGCAGAAGCAAGAGTGCGCCTTCGGGGAACAAATTCATTTCAACGTTTAAGTTCTGCATCAAATGTGAAGGAAATGGGGATATTGTGCTGACTAATGTAGTCTGAAGTGGAAATTACATCTGGGGGTGAGGTCAAATAAGTCAGGTCGAAACGCCACAATGAATATGCAAGTGACGACATGCTCAGTCATACGGACTACCCCCATAAGCATGTACTGCAAAACCGTTTTCAGAACGCGTATAGTGACATAAACACAGACGTCGGATTTGGACTAAGTCAGGTGGCACGGTATTTGTAAGGTAAAGTGCCAATTCTACAGGGATTCAGAACCAAACGAGATCCAACATGAGGCATTAATGTAGTTGGCTTTGCAGTAAATGTACTCGCTTGTCAAGTTAGAATCCAGTGAGCAGAACTGGGCTGTTTAAGTCTGACTCAAAATAGTAAGAAGCCCAATCCGACTTTCTAACCATGAAATGTCACAAAACGTCTTCCTCTGTGGGCTTGGGAGTTATGGCACAGTCAGCTAAACTTGGTATCATTATTGGGATCGATTCGACCACACTGAATTCTAATTGCTTTAGACGAAACGCCACATAGGTCTCCAAAGTCACCATTTCCTGAAACGGAGACCAGTTTAACCCAGTTCAGTTCGGCAATTATAATTAAGAGCATCTTATGTGAGTCTGCAAGTCCTCAATGCATCTCATTATAAACTCAAACATCATTAGAGAGCAACTAGCCTATTCTGCACACTAGGTTTAATCAACGGCTAATGCTCCACACTTAAGTGGACGCCTAACAACTCATGAGTTAGAGCGCCCAATTAGTGTCATATTTGAAAAGTTAATCCTGTCGAATATTCGCCATCAAAAGACGACTAACTTTCAAACGTGATCCAGCACTTAATTAAGCGTCACTTCTCACGAAAGGTAGGAAACAAAAGCCGATGAATCAATGGACGGAAATTCAATTCCCTCACAAAATAGTGCATCTCATAATTCGGAGAGCTGAGTAAGATGCAAGTCACGTTGGAAAATTGAACTTAAGATTTAATACTCAAGTAGAATAGAGAACACTAACATTCGCCTTCATTTATTGTGAACAAACGACAGTTAAGGGATAACCTGTTCATTCCTTTCTAAACACAAGAAGAGTGCTCATAGAAGGCAATTTTAAGAAAGACAGCAAAATGACTCAATTTCGAGAACAATTATATATTTAAAAAACGCAAATTAAAAAAGAAACATCCTTTTTGGAAATTACAAAATTCAGGTCTATGATTTCAGTAAAATGAAAACTGCGAGTTCCACTTAAAACAAACTACTCAATAATTAATACACAAAAAGGAACATTAGCCATTTAAAAATAACAGATGGATTTGGAGCTTATGAAGGTATATTGCAAAATTCTCATTATAATCAAGACGATTGAAATGAACAATGAACTTGAAAATAGGGTATCAATGTGGGATGTCTACGAAGATTAGAAGTAAGTCAGCAAATCATTCGGCTGAGCTACTTTATGGCTGTGCACTGAGACCAATCCCCCATTACACGGCAGTTGTTGGTGAACGCGAATGTGCCAGACGTTACCATCATGCTCAACCTGAAAAATCACTGCGTTTGAATTGAGTTTCTCACCTTCGCAAAATAATTAACACCAGCGACAATTTGACGGCTTACGTCAGTAATCTTTACATCAGAAGGCCTTTGACCGCATTTCTCTTCCAAGTATTTCTCAATAACAGGCATTAAAATCCTCAAATCATCCTCGGTAGGCTGAGAGGCAGCCGTCGTCCCACCACACAAGGCCATTCTCTTAATGAGTATTGAATCAACACTAATTTATTTACCCGTTATAACACCACTAACAAGGACTTTAATAGGGGAAGATAAGTGGATTTTCATTTGATCGAAAATCATTTTAGCATTTTTTGCATTAGCATATTTATTTTTTAATTTGTTCATTTGGATTAATAAAAATGAATAATACTGAATTGATCTAAATTAATTTGTGATCGGAAGGGTATTATTTATACAGTTAGCTTTGTGTGATACATTGTTAATTACTTATTCCTTTCTAAATATTTAAACCGATAAACGTTTCTATCAGTCCGATAAATCAGGTAGTATTGCATTTAAACTAATAATATGATATCAGAAACAGAATTCAGGGCACAGTGCAAATGACTGGAATCAATCCAGTTGTCTGACAAGTATCTTTGAACCGCTGAACACTTAAATTATTGAGTTCACTCAATAATTTCGAGTAATTAAATAAGCTGATTTGAATTTCAATGTTAGTCTTCTGTGGTTTAAGCATATTCTAAATATTTACACAGATAATTCATAATCAGTTGGTTAATTGAAACACCGTCGGATTATGAACTATCTAAAATGGAACACCAAAATACCATAAACAAGTATACAACAAAACAAAGATCTTTATAAATGTTGTAATAGTTATTAATTGAAACACATAGGGTCGTAACGCGTTGATCAATTATGAACCTCTCTATTCAACTTTTACATAACAATCTACACGGAAGCCTAACCAGTAAGAAGGTGTAGTACAGAACCACACATTTGTTTTGCCTGGCAATCTGAGTGATTTAAGACGTGGTCACCTTCTACGTTACACTCTCAAATTTCACATATTTAACGCTAAGGTGTGTTTGGTTATGATTTCAATAAATACATTATTTCCAGACTGAAATAAATGCCTTGACTAAGCATAAATGAGTGCAGATATTATGCACCTATTATTAATATGGTGCAATATCATATTATTAGTACAATAACAGGTGGCAAAATCCGAGGTCAAATTCCATTACATCTGTGCATTTTATACAAGGCAATTTTAGGAACACTGTTTGGCAATAAGTTATTTCAAATATTGGACCCAACTTGACACCATCTTCTTCACAACTCCCTATTTAAAGCCAACGTTCCAGTCATTGCGAACTTTTCAAGTGGCACATATTGTTGCAAAATAACACAAATTACCATGTTAAATTCAATCTGATGACAAATTAGGAAGAAGGTGGGAAGATTGGGTGAACGCCTCTTACTAGCACGCGAGCCTCTTAGCCCAATAGTGATAAGAGCTCCAGGATCATCTCTATCCACCAACCACAAAAGAGATTCCAACTCACACTTGGAAGTTTTGCCACTTTCATTTGCATTTGAACTCTCTGAAGGATGTATCGGGGTTCTTACTGATATAAGTTACTTCTTTCATCTGGAATGACTTGCTTTATTAGTTAAAATCACCACAATGGGGCACTTTTGATAATCGAACGCTGACTATGAACCGAGTCTTGTTTGGCGCTGAGTTTTGTCGAGTCTAAAAAGGAACTCCATAATGTTGAGATTAGTTAGTCCTCTCAAATCCTTTTGCCAATTATATAACCTCGAAATTTTAACCTGTATTGAGTGATCAGTTTAGACTTGAACAGGCCAATATGCTCTACAAACTATCTTACTTTGTGGAATACACCCATGATCAAGGCTCGAAAGCTCAATTTTATGAACCCATTCATCTAAAGATACGCGCCTTTATTCCACCAACAAAATGTGTCATGATACGTAGAGGATATTATTGAAATGCAAGTGAATTTGTTACTAATATTTAAGTATTTGTAAACGTATTGAAGAGTTGAAGAACTGGGAAAAATTTATTTATTTATTTCAAATGGCAGGCGTTTTGATAGCTATCATTAGCCCTTTAGTTGACTTCGGGCTTCACGGAGGGAAGGGTCATCAAAGTAGCAGAAAGTCGAGGAAGGGGAGCAGAAGAGCTACTCACAGATGTAAAAGAGGCAGACCGACACAAAGGTAGAGAAAAAGGCAAGTTGAGTGCTGTTGAAGGGATTGAATATGACAAGCAGTCGGACTATGGTAGTTTGAAGTCAGAAGTCAACTGCCGGTTAATAGACATTTTTGCTGTATGAGTATACGTTGCCCAGGGTGCACCATGTGGAGGTAAATCTATCGCACACCCCGAACTGGGAAAAATAGAATGGTGCAATGAATGGTGAAAGGTTGACAATAAAGGCAGAGTACAAAGGTGTCAATTAATTTGTTTGTGGTGTTCAAATTGTACGCGCGCACATTACTTCACGTTATGTACATGGTTCAGATTTCGAAATTTTTCAATATGATCATGTCTGATTGTGGTCACATCCGCGATTTTAAAATTTTATTAACTAATTGGTTGCTTTTTGAGAATGGTTCTAGGGAGAAAATAAAGGTGAACACTTATTTTTCAAGACCGGAGCACTTAAAGCTAGTGTCCACCAACCAGAATTGAATGTCTACAACTCACGAAGCTACAAGGACATCATTTGAGTCTCATTTTACTTTAATATTGCCATCACTACTTGATTCTGCTGTCAGATGCCTCAGGTGCTATTCTCATCGATGCATGTCCAGTAAGTAGGATAGTCGACTACACACTCAGTTTCACCAATTTAATAGATGGATGAATTTGAGTCACTCATCATGGAGTCACTTAAGGCCACCCTTTGAAAAGCTTTACTAATTGGCTTTGGGAATCCGAATAGAAGTTCTTATTAGTCTTAAATGACCATTTTGTTAAAAGCTATGACCAAATTTTGTACTAATCAATATTTAAATGGTATATTGTCATATATTCAAACGAGAACTTGCCTAATAGAAACTTTCATTTTAATATAAAATTAATACAATTAAGATTTGATTTTTTAATAAGTTTGTTTTCTCCATAGTTAACAGGAAAAATATTATATTTCTTACAATTTTATTAGAATCGCAAGATAAAAGCTAAGAAAATATTAAAATTTATTATTTTATTATGCTTCCTACATCCATACTATTGAATGGAATAATTTTGAAGCTTACCGAAGTGTTCGTTTAATGAGTTCAAGAAAATATTAAGAATGAAAACTATTCGTTTAGAGTTGACTTCAAATATAAAAAATACTGCTGGAGGTAAATGAGCATGCTGCTTTAAGAGAGAGAGAGAGAGAGAGAGAGAGAGAGAGAGAGATAGTCATATTATTTCGACTTCTTAGCAATTCTAATGCAATTGAGGTGAAACCCATGATTTATTCAAATTGATTTCGAGAATTTTTTATCACTTTACTGCAAAGAAAACAGCCAAAAAACGAAAACCACACTTTAATCATTAAAATTTATGTTCCAATCTTTCTTCCAGAAGATATGGGATAAAATGGAAAGACAAGTGGTTAAAATCATTACTTGTAAATTTTTCTGATATACTATTTTTGCAATTAATTAACTTACATGGCCACTAATAGCTTATCGATTTTTGCTCTAATTTTTTTCCTGCGATATCATCGCGTAATATTTGACAAATAACCTCGTATATACTAGGACTATAGTAAAACAATATTCGAAATTTATTATTCCATGGATGATTACGCTTATGAAGGTAGGTTTAAAGTAAAAATAATCCATTTATCAGAAGTCACTTGTCCAGTAGAAAGCAGTAAAAGGGACATCCTAAGTTTCAGTATTGTTTGATAGTTTTTGCATGATTGAACGAATATACAGTGAAATGCCATTTTTAGAATAAATTCACATCACAACAAATATTAATCCGAAACTCCTGGAAAACTTGATTTGGTTTATTGAAATCCATTGAGAAATTTTGTAAATAATTTTGCTCAAATTGATATTCCACAACTTCATGCAACTTATATCATAGGTCTGTTATTTAATTTTTGTCGTAGTCATCATTTTAAACTTTTTCACTTATAATTTAGTGCAATTAACAATAGATTTATGAATATAGCTAAATTTCAAACAGAATTCAGGTCGATTTTTAAACGATGCCTCTTTCGTTCACTCCTTAAGTTAGCCGGAATGACAGTTACATGAACGAATTTATTGAGATTGCCAATTTGAAGTACCCTTTTATCCTCGAGAGCATTAGTTAACATTAACGCGTTAACATGGAAATAAATCTCAATATAAGTTTGCAATGAATGAGACTTCATACCAAGGCATTTAATAAACTTAGAGCAAAAACCGTTTGAATGACCCTCCTACTGAAGTATTGCTATATTAAAATGACCCGCTTTTCAATGAGTTACCAGTTGAATTTTACTCGTTCTCTCTCAAAAAGCTCAGTTGAGTCTCACAACTTAATAATATAAAGCGATCATTACGTTTCTCCAATAAAATTTCAAAATTGTTTTAAAATCTGTGATGATTTGCTCGTAGGAAGATACTTCAACATTTAGATTAAATATGGATTAAAGATTTCATTCGGGTAGGCCTTTAATTCATGGGATACCTCTTCAGATTTCAAGAGTACAGGCTATTTTGAAACTTTTAATATTCATGATGATTTTTAATAACAATAATGAACTATAACTATATTATTACCATTTCTACTCTATATAACATTAAATACAAGAGCCTACATATAATAATATTTAGAACTATTGAATTCTTTAATCCATTTTTATCAAATAACACATTGAGATTGCTATTATGCTATTCCAGATGTCTATTTTTTACCAACTGACGGGAATATTTTTTACCTAAACAGTAAGGATGCGCACTATATATATATATATATATATATATATATATGTATTTTTAATACTGTTTGGATTAATCGACCAACTATTTTCATTTTAAGACTCAGCATTTGGAAGGAAAGGATGTGGTGCTGAATTATATATATTTATATTTTTCCTAATTAATTATTCCATCTAAACTAATCAATGAATTTCATAAAAATTAGATATTACTGCAGATGATGCCGATTTAGCTCGTATATACAAAGTTCAACTACATAAGTT